TATTTGGATTGATATTCTACCCTCAGTTGGGTTGCCACTGGCTGTTCTGTTCTCAGATGGTGACCGTCTTAGACTTTGCCCTCTGCTGCCTTCTTCGAGATCCTTTCTGCGTGAACGGGGCGACGACCACTACGCAGATCCGCCACCAAACAAACAAAAAACAACAACAACAACAGCAACAAAACAAGCAAAAATTAAAATAAGAGCAGCAAATTCACCAATCAGTAGTGACAGGGGTATTGCAGCACCATCAGAACTCAGAAAAAGTGGCGAGGAAAACAATTGGGAGAAATAATCTAATCGAGTGTGGAGACATTCTACTCTCGAGATATATATATATATATATATATATATATATGTATATATATTTAGCACATGAATTATAAAAGACAATGCAATACAGGTAAGCGCGCCTCAATACAGCCACGTATCACAAAAAAACAAAAAAAACACACACACACACTCATACATACACACAAGAAAAAGAAACGATTCAGTTCATGAAGTCTTAGCCACGTTCATGGAGTTGCCAATGATGAATCGTCTGAGTCAGAACAATCAAAACAACGGCGTCGGAGGGGAACTGGCCGCTTCACAACGCGAGGAAATACATCGTACATATCTGCCACTTGCGCAGGTGAAAGAGAGGAAGCGAGGGAAAAGGAAATCTGGTTGCCTGATGCTCGTTTCTCTACAAGAGGACTCGCATTTACAGAGAGGGCACATCGTTTATTGAATTCGCTCGAAATTGGAGGCTCGAGCGTGCGCGTGGGGGAACTCCAAGCATTTCGTATCACACGTTCTTCTTCGCACTGCTGCACACACTGTACCTGCAGCGGCATCGCATCGCCATGGCTGCCAGACCACAACCGTGCCCGTGGGACAGATAAGCTCTGTGTATTGACTGAGGAGTGCAGCCCTACGCGCTGTTCGTTTTGCGCGGCATAGCTCGCAACCGTCCGACGGTACCGTGTGACAAAACTAATCATCGGCGGTCGTCCACGCCTGAGGCTGGAGTACGATCCCGAATCGGAAAGCGAATGGGATGGCACGACAACAGCAACACTGTGCGACGGCTCCCGAAGCAACATGATTTCTCGCGCGAAGGGGGATCCCCCAGAGCCTGCCGACATGTTGATATGCGGCGACAGCGACGCGTCGCGCCACATGCGCTTCGGCTGTTGGACCGGCGACGCGCTCACATGCCCGGACTCGCACATCGCGCGAGACTCATCCGCGGCGAATGCACTCCTAACGCCCAGCACATTGCTGCTACCCGACGCCGTGAACTGTTTGCTCCGGATTGGAGAAAATAAACCATCCATCACCTTTTTGTGTGTTTCGTCCGCCTGTGTGCGGGAGTAGGGGCAATGAAACACTGGAGACGCGTTAGTGATTGTGTCGTTCAACAGCGGACGCCACTGAGAGAGAGGGCGAGCTTCGTGCTGCTCCATACAGCACCTGCCGGCCAACCGCTACTCAGGTGCCGATGTAAGTACTGGTGCACCGCGGAAATCAGGGACTAAGCGATCCAACAAGATATGAACGAGCAATAACAAAGAAAAAAAAAGGCAAGAAACAAAAAAAGAAACGGTAGATGTTGCACAAATAAAAGAGGAGCACAAAGACAGAAACAAAGGCACAGCTGTGTCCTACACACCCCATCATCATCAACAAAATCAACCGCATCAGCAAAAGGTGCATCCTCGCTTTTTAGGGCAAAAACAAAACAGATTTTTTTCTTTCTGATACAGCTTGCGATGGAAGAAGTACAATCCGACACGAGCTCACACACCCCTTATACATGCATGTCAATCTGTAATATATTCTCCTATCCAGTAATGTCTCAATATACCTGTTTGCTTCACCCAGAGGCGCTCTTATTTTTTTCTTCTTCTCTTCCGTATTACTCCCTTCATGCCGTGTATCTTTTTTTTTTTTCCTCTCTGTACCTATTGTGTGATACACAGACGGATCATTGCTGTCTCCACGTCTACTTCGTCGACTCCGTCCTCCTCATCGTCCATCGACACCGTTACAGACAGCTCGCAGAACTGAATGCGGTTCTGCCAGAAGGGCTGCGGCAACTTCCCACCCGCCTCCGCCAGTTTCTGCTTCTCAATCACCTCCATCAGTGAGAGGTTCGCGTTGGCGTGCTTCCTCGATCCGTTCCACAGCATGCCCTTCCCAACACCAATACCGACCACCTCACACAACGCCTCGGTACCGACCGGGCGCAGAGCGTTCAGCTGCTTTTCCAGCGCCGTCGCAAACTCCTGCACGGTGGTGCGTTTCGTTACAGGAACTTCGATCGTGTCGTACTTGGTGAAACCTTCCGGCAGACGCACAATCTTCTTCTTGTAGGTATAATCTTGCTCCGGTAGATAGGTGGAGACAATCTTGGTGCGGTTCTTGATAGGGGTATCACGTTCAAAGAGGACGTAATTGTTGGTGCCCACGTCGATCATGCCGTTGCGAAGACACGAGACATCGCTTCCTTGCAGGGCTTTAAAGTACTCGATGAGGGCAAGGCCCGTGACGGCGGATGTCGTGGTCGCAATCGCCGGAATGATCTTTCCCGCAACGAGTTTTATCTTCATCCGTTCCTGCGTCGGAATTTCATAGTTCAACGCGCGGAGGTTACTCGCGGCAGTTACGAAGTCAATATGGAAGTTGTCATCATCATCCTTCTCGAATTCTAGAGCTGCGGCCTTCGTCTTGTTGCACCGCTTCGCCATGGCGACAATGCTTTTCAGCATCTGGTGCAACTGTTCATCCTTTGAACCTTCTGCCTTGGCTGTGTCGTGCCTGTCCACAGTGACAAGGAGGTCATCGTCGAGGCCCTCCACTGCACCTGGCTGATACGCCGGCACATCGCGCTTCGAAATGACACTATTGAGCCATCCTTGTGCACGGTATTGCTGCATCCACCGATTCTTCTCGTCGTTGAAGCGGGCCTCGTGCTTCGGCGGGTGCAAGCCATACATGCACGCAAACAGATTGGTCGTAGATATGAGGAACTCCACCACGTCTGGGTTGGAGGTTATTGTCTTGGGGTCAACTTGTAACGCCGTCGGGTACTTGCGGTGGCCGGACCAGAAATCATCACCGTTCTTTTTCTTTGCGTTTCGAGGGAAGGAGCGCTGCAAGTCGAGGATGCGGTCACGGAAGAGGTGGAACATCACTTCCCATGCGCACTGAACACATTTCTCCATATCGACACCATCAACAAGAATTGACAGCGTCTTCTGAAGCATGCGCACACTGCCCAGGTGCTTCTCAACAAGACTGAGACGCTCCCCAGCACTCTGTGCTGCATTGAGTTCCTTTTGGACACGCTCTGTGAAAGCGACAGGGTCTTCTAGCAGCTGCTCCGCGGTCTGCATCGGGGAGACAAAGAGGTCATCAAACTGTGCGCGGGCCCACTCGATGCAGTGATCAAATATGTACGGGAAGTTACGTAGCGTGCACATCGGAATGCCCCCAGAAGCGTCTGCTGCACCCCCGTCAGCGTATGAGGTCGTCTTCCCTGGCACAACAATATCAACATTTCCGCCTGTTCCCATTGTCCCTGCCTCCACGAGTATCTTGTTATACTTAACGCACTGCTGGTCTACATACAGTCGCGTCTCCATGTTATCGAGTGCGTTCACTACCACATCCAGCTCGCTCCAGAAGTGATCGTGGTACACGTGCTCCGTGCTGGCGCCGACGTAATCCTGCCGCGGGTTAATACAGGCATCTTTGTTTATGACGCGCATGCGTGCTGCTGCTGCCGCTGACTTGGACTGACCCACATTCTCCTCGCGAAAGAGGAACTGTCGGCTGAGATTTGACACCTCGATGCGATCATTGTCAGTCACGACGAACGACCCCTTTGGTCCACACGCCACTCCGCAGAGAGCGAAGTTCTTGATATTCTCACACCCCAGCGCACCACAGCCTACCATGAAGACACGGAGATTGCCCAACTTCTCCTGGAACGTTTTTCCAAGCATGGCAATAAGGTGATCATAGCGGGAGTTTCTTGGCTTATATTCATCAGAGATGGGATACATTGCACCACTCGGCAGCATAGTGGCACAACTGAAGTGAAACCATTGACAAATTGGTGTGTACTTCCCTGTAATCTTCACAATCTCCTGTGCGACGACGGCACCAAAAAAGGCGCAAAGAGGTTGCAGCTCGGCGGTGGCGAGGAGTGCTTCTGTACGAACAAATGACTCGTCGATTGCATCAACATGGAGTGGCGTCGGTGGTGGTGGCGGTGCGGGGCGTGGAGGGAATTCCTTTTTTTCTGGCGCCAAGAACATCATGTGTGGTTCCTCGTTCAACCTTGCCTTTGCCACTCTGTTCTCATTGTTGATAATCCTTCCAAGTGCTACCAACTCCCCTGCCTCCTTTGCGTTATGCAACTGAGGAAGCCTTCCGTGTTTCTCCGCAAAGCGCAGCAATGCAAGCAGGACAAGATGGGATTGTGACTCCTCTGAACCGTCCATCATGGGGCTCACTGAGACGAACTGACCAGGGGACATGAGGGCCTCCTTTAGGGTGCGGAAGTGCACCTGCTGCACTTCCTTGAGCTCGTGGAGGAAACCACCTGACACATACGCGGAGTAGCCCTGGCTCTCAAGGGAGGGGTAGATACGCACAGTGTCGCGCGGGTCGGATGTGCACACTACGCCATCGAATACCGCGTTGTTCACACTTTTCCCATCCGACTGGCACAAGCCCTTCACCTCGGTGAACTTCACCCGTGTATAGTCTCGCAGCGCCCCTGGTGTCTGCCCCTCCGGCGTTTCGTAGCGGATGCGCGTGTACGCGGCGCCAGTTTTGTCGTGTTTTGTGACGACCTCCAGAATGGATTTTTGAATCATAGGACGACCATCGGGGTCCTTGACGGTGAAGCAGTCGCCGTGGTCGGCGAAGACAGAACCGAGCACACCGCCCTGAAAGGCGAAGATGAAGGAGATGGTCGGTGAGTGTGTGTGGCAGTAGGTGTTCCACTTGGTGAGCGTTGTCATCGTTATATCCATGGCGGCGGATGTGTAGACGACGGCGTTCACTTGGCTCACCACCACCTCGCTGAGCGCCTCAACAACACGCACGCGGACGTTTGGATTCAGTTCAGACACAAAACGCTGCGATGCCTCGGCGCGGGTGAGACCGGCGTGCAGTGCGGCGTCTGTGACGGCGAAGTTGACGCCCATATCCTTCGCCTCCGCCCGCTTGGGGTCACAGAGGATGATAGTGTGCACGCCCGCCAGTGCGAGGTTCTTTGCCGACTCGATGCCGACGCCACCGCAGCCGACGATGAGCACCTTGAAGGAGATAAGCCTCGCCATCGTTTCAAGGCCGTATGTACCGATGGTGCGGCTCTGCTTGTCCAGAAACTTCGAGTCGATGGCTGCGCTGACTGCAGCAGAGTTATCTACGGCGGACATATCTGCAGCCCCCTTCTCTTTATCTGCTGCGAGGGCTTGGGCCAGGTGTGGGTTGGGCTCCGTTCGGTGGGACCCAGTGTTATGTGAATATGACGCAGAACAACAAGAATGGTGATCCCGTTCGTGTTTGCGCATGTGGCTCTACTAATGAGGAGTAGCAGAAAAAGCAAGAAGCAAAAAAAAAAGGAAAAGGACGAAGGAAAGAAAAAGGGAAAAAAGGAAACCGCAACAACAACAAAAAAAAAAGAAAACAAAACAAAAGAAAGAAGAAAGGCCAACTATAAGAGGCTACAGGAAAAAAAAATAAGAGACAATGAAAAAAGAAAATGTGTTTCTTTTTTCGTCCGCCATATATATAAAGTATTGACCATGCCCCCGCCATGTTGTTTCACTTCGCATCTTCGTCGAGACGCAGAATAAAATACCGCACACAGACAGATATCGGCTGCATGCGCAGATTGTCATCGCTCTCATTCCCCTTGCCCTTGGCATCACTTTGCTTTGTGTCGTATAAACGCAATGTCTCCACCATCGTCTTCCCATCGTCCTGAAACGTGTACCATGTGCGCTCCATCAGGCCACTTGACAGCGTTGTCTCCATACAGAGCCCTGCCCCGCCCTGCAGGACGCAGGCGCGCGAGCACGCCGCCCCCCGACTGGCACTGTGCCACTCCCACTCTGTGCCGTCAAACCGCACAACATGTTCCCTGCTACACAGTGACGTCCGCATGACGGCACACACCAGCGACTGTTCCTCGTCCACAGTAATGATGAGTTTTGGTGACAAGTTTTCAATGAAAGTGCGCCACATCACGCCAACACCTTGCGCTGCAAGGAAGGCCCCGATGTTTCCGGTCCCTCTCGACGAATCAAGCACCCACGTGCCGTCGGAGGTGCCCTTCAGCTTCGAAAGGTCCAACTTACTGGCGTGTGTCGTGAACTGTGCGTCGGATGGGACGATGCACTCCGCCAAACCCCCGTCTGTCACCGCCACCAGTGCCTCTATACTACTCGGTGGGGACAGCACAAGGTCAATGACCTGCACATGGGATGGAATCCATGACGCACAGCACTTCTCAAGGACATAAGACAACTCCCGAAGCACAAAGGCACGCAGTGTCAGCGTTTTGACATCAATCGAGATGCTTCCAAAGTAACTCAGCCATTTCCCATGACACCACTGAAGTGTCTCAAGGACTTCCCTCGGGTCCTTCGGATGGTGAAAGATAAATGCGTACGCGCCGAGGAAGGTTGTGAAGACAACCATATGCGCATCCGAAAGTGAATGACCCTGAAGACTCACCAGTGTCCTCACTGTACTTGTGGCAGACGCTGCAGGCCCGCCCACAATTTCCTCTAGTGACTTCATGGCACCTACAGATGGTTTCTCCATTGCAGCGGTAGCCACTTCGCGCAGCACACTGTAGAGCTTCGTGACCTTCTGCAGACTGCTGTTTCCATGACTTTTAAGGAAACCATTGCCTGTAACATCGATTGAAGACCCATCTGCGGCAATGACTTTGCCTGTAAGACGCACCGTACCCAACCAGCAACTCGGCTGCAAGGCGAGTGCCACAAACTCTTGGTGGGGAAACGTCGCCTCAATAACAGCCTCCAGTTTTGCACCATCACGGAATGGGGTGCGCAGCATCCACCGAGTGGCGAAGAGTGTACCTGTCTCCTCACTGCGAAACTGTGAAGTGACGTCCGCGTTTAGTTCAATGTCTTTGTGATGGTGTTCACTCTTTCCAGTGTCACCGCACTGTGTCACGACATAATTGCATGCTGGCTTCATATCCACAGGGCCTACCGTGCATATAACGCTAAGAGCGTCCCGTGTACCATTTTCCAACTGGATCGAAAACGAATGCCACACGTGACACAGATCTGCGCATTCTTTTTGAGCCTGCAGATATTTTGCCTCTTCATTGCTTCGAGGCAGGGCGAAGCCAAACGTGTGGTCCATCCACATCGTCCCACCCTTCAGATTGGGGCTGCGAACAATCTCCAACTTATCGGAAGCGCGTATTACGCGCAGTTCGCCTTCGACCACCTTACAATGAGGGGTAAAGTACTGGAACACGTCACAACTCCAGTCGCCACCGAGCTTCAGCACACCGTCGGTACCATGTAAAACAGGATTCTGTGTCGGTACCAGTGTCAGCTCCACCATCGCTTTCACTTCCTCTCGCATATCTGCACCGCCTGTCTCAAACGTGGTGCCAGATAGGTGGAGCTTGTACCATGGGAAGGCTGTCTTCTTCTTTCCTTTTGGCTGCGGGACCATCATCAGTTGGTTTTCCGCGTAGTGGATATCGAGGCCACCCAAACGCACCGACGCGGGCCCCGCCATGAGTAAGTCCGGCAGCGGTAGACGATTCTGGCCGAACTGCTCCGCCAAGGCGGTAAGGAAGTGCTCGTCAACGGCGCACCTTCCATTTGCCGCCAGACACGCCGCTACGAGCGGAGCCTGATGGTCCACTTCGCTGAAGCGGTAGTACTTTTTGGTTTCATGATCCACCAGCACCCAACTCACTGCGGCAGCGTATGGGACAGGATCGTTGATGTTTGGCGGCTCATCGTCACCTGCAAAGGCGAGGCGAGCGAATGTGACAAATAAACCGAAACGGCCATTATCGCCGATTCGACCGTTCACACCCCACCACTCCAAAGCACAGTTATCGTGCGGAGCGTCGTGCTCCACACACATCTCAAGGATGCTTTCCCTATCCTCGTCACTGTCACAAACCACATGCTTCGGCCATGAGGCTCGCATCCGCTCTCGGAGAACAGCAGCTTCACCCGGCTCTGGCCTACACTTTTTGCGTGGAGATTCATCAACCATATTTGCTTACTTTTTGCCCTCAAATGCTTCCTGGCAACAAATA